GAAGAAGTCTCTTGGAAGAGAGAGGAAACGTTTCATTAAAGAAGAACCCGTCCAGAGGACCTATACATTTTTTTTTTTCCTTTCTGGATAATATTTCAAACAATCGACAAACACCATCTTGGGAACTTACACATTGGTCCCATGACAATGTGATACAGCTCATGTCCAAAGGTTTGGGGCTAAAAGTTGATGCTCCTTGAAAGGACAGCTAAGACAGACAAAATGTGTTTTGTTATTTGAAGCAAAGCTGCATTTTTGAGTGAATCTGATTGCTTTAAGTTCTAATATAAACACAGCTGTGAAACTAAGGCTGCTATGTGAATGTGTTCAGTGACACACCTGACCAGACTGCGAGAGTCGGCGAGCACAGGCCTGCATGGCAAATGCTTCTCCTTCTTTGGTCCTTTCTATGGTCCAACCAAAGGCTAACATAGTCTTTACTGTCTCTTTGATGGCCCAGCGATACGCCTCCTTTTCCTGTTTAACACAACAAACAAAATGTCAGGAATATACACATGAACAGACAAAACTATTTTAATATTCAAATAGGTTGGTACAAACTGTGCTGCCTGCTTGGCATGCTTTTTAATGAAGGCACGGGGCAAAAAATCCAAAAACCATGAAGCACATCATTTTAATATTTTATATTACACACTCCCAGGTTTAGTATGCATATCCCTTCGGGACATGTCAGTTCACTGGTTTCATTATTGAAGTACATTCCTGCATGCAWACACATACCCCTAAAGGTGACGGCAGTTTACCTTCTCAGCCAGAGCTCTGTACGGCTTCAGGAGCGGGTGAACTTTGGAGTTCTCGCATAGCTGCTCCCCGTGAACCCAGCCGTTGGCAAACTGTCAGGGACAACACACGCAGGTTCACTTAAAATCATGTGCAACGTTCTGTACAACATGTTGTGACATTGAGGAAATTAAAACCGATTTTAGCAACTCACTTTTATGCTAACAAGCTGTTCAGTTGCAAAGAATAGTTATTAAGATAATACCTTGTCAAGAGACCACTTTTCATGAGTGTGCTCTGCGTACTTGTTCACTACAAATTCCAGTCCCTCAGGCACAGAAACACTAATAAAAAGGAAAGAAATGACAGCATTTAACCTTATGCTAGAGTGGCAAGTTTGATTACAGGCACGCAATATTATTCTTTTTAGTAAATTTATCCTACCAAGATTTTCTCCTTAACTACAAAATAATCAACAGGCAATCCTTGTTAATGAATACCACTGTAAATTGTTATGGTCAGTATCTTACTTGGATGTATTTACAGGCTGGGGGTCAAAGTGTCCATTTGTGTCCACTGACGTTTTTCTGTCCCTTTGAGACAGACAGCCAGACTCCGTGTGTTCCGGAGGGAATGCTTTAGCAACTGCGACAAGGCATTGTACGCACAACTTGAAGAACTCAGGAAYGTATGGCTTTACAGTTTACAAAGGAACAAAACAGGAAACAAAGCAGAATAGTTAATAAAAGAAAGTAAAAAAATGTCCACCTTTGTGGACAATAAAAGTTTATCTTATCTTATTTATCTTATTTTTAAATATAACACAAGTTAAATACTAAAATAAGCTTGCATCACTAAAGAACATAAAACTTAATATATTGCATTTGCAGGTCGATCACCATATTTGATTACTTGCGAAATTTGTAGATATTTTAAAAATGCTAATTTTTGTAACTATTTGCATAAGAAATCTGAAAAAAATCTCAAAAAGTAAGAGTAATGTATGAGACTTGATTTTAGTTTGGCTGCAGCAACCTGGTTACGTAAAAATAAACACATTTAAAAGGCCGGTCAGCTATCAGATATTCCCATCAACTCTTTGATCCAAGTATTATATTGCAAAACTGGCAAATGAGCGCCAAACACAATTAAAGAGAAAGYTTTATCCCAGACAAAATATACATACTTCCCTGCTATTTGTCCATCTCAGTTACAGAAACCAATTCCTGTAGATCATATTCATCAACCCAGTCATTTCAAACATCATTGCTATATTACCTTCCTTGGTTAAAGCTGTCAAATTCAAGAGCTGAAAAATGTCAAAATGATGTGATTTTTTTCCTCTGAGTCAAGCTAAGTTGTTAATTTCTTACCTTATGTGAAAAGCCTGTTTTTATAAATGTAAGGTGCTAAGACAGACAAGATATGATAGAAAATATTTTACCTGAATGAGGGAATTGAAACTCCAACACCGTGGCATAACACCAATCTTTTTTTCATTTTGTTTCACAAATGCATTTGTCTATGCAATTTAAATTGATTACATTTTTACCTTCTGTATCATACTGTATAACAAATGCAGAAAAGAACTGAAAGAATATCTAAGCTATGGTAAATGATTTATTTTTTAGATAGGTAATGGTTCGTAATTATATATAATTTGATGTTCATTCAGAATAAATTTCTGTCAAAGTTATTTTCTTATGTTCTTACAGAATATTTATTTGACATATTGGTTTTAGGTCTTCCACTCCATCAGGTCTGTTCAGGATTTAGGTGGTTTCATAGCAGGCTATGAATAATTAACAAGTGAACTCCAGGGTTTTATTTCTTCCTTTACTTGTGATTTTAAAAGAGCAGAAGACAACATAGAAATGCACTTTACAACTTGTCCTTGAATAGACTTTCACAAAGAAAGAATAGTGCAGGTATAGTACTGAGTTTTGTTTTTATCAAAAGATACAGACAAAAAAARCACTTTAGGTTACCTTCTTTGCTAATGCCTTAAAAACACCCCAGAATAACTTTCTAGAAAGGTGGAGCTCTTCTTCAGAGGCCAAACTTTGGTCATCCCCCCTGCCAGCATGGGAGTAATACTTCCACCTCTGCTCATAATGACTGGTCAAGAGCTGGAAAACATAAGTGATAAAAAAATTAATATAAAGGAACCCAAGTTACTAATATACTTTAACCTAAACTGCAGTCAACCATATTTTGTGTTTTCACTTTTAGTGGCATTTTGTTGTGGTCTGAGAGATGGAGAACATCAAAGACAAGCTGGTGAAGGAGCGGCTGCATCATAGATGGCTGGAGTTTACTGGAAACATGAAATCATGAAAAAATTACACACAGATTAGTTGCATGTCCATCACAACCATTTGCACAATCACATTTACAGAAGGAACATTGCTTTGACTAATTATCCCTTTTCAGAAGAGTATCAAAGATAATTTAAATGGCCAAAAAGTTAATTATTTGAACATGATGATTAAATTTAGAAAATTAAGTCTCAAATAGGGAAAACAGACTTTACAGTAACTAAATATAATGAGTAGTTTTGTGATTGAGCGGCTAACTGACTGGAGGAGGAGGGTAATGTTTTAGCAAAGATTCAGTGAACGCAAAAGATCCATCAAAATGCATCAACTTGCTATTTAAAATGTTTAATGATGCATTTTGGAACTTGATGTTCTTCAACTTTTTCTTAACTTGTAGCTACAAGCCCCACCTGCACAAAGCCAGCAAACARTCTTCAGYAGTGTCTCTCTGAGCCTTGGTCAARCTGAGAGCTCTTGAGAGCTGATAAATAGCCTGAATGAGTGAGTCAACCAGGAGAAAATTGTCCTCTAAATTGTGGAAGAGGGCAAAACATTTGGTGAGCAGGGGAAGAACAGCAGTACACAAGTATCTGTTGAGGGCCAAGGCCATATCGGTGGATCCCAGCTCAGCCTGCAACATAAAAAAATGGAAGAGGCTCACTTTTATGGACGATCGAAACTGACAATTAGAAATAAAGGCAGAAATATATAAATGGACCAATAGATAAATACACTGAAAACGCACAAATCAAATTAAAAACGGAGACCTTCATCTTATGTTTTATAATGTAATTAATCTTCATATTTATTTTTCCAGCTTRGTTCTAATAAATTATATATC